TCAGGAAATCTAATGTGTTAAGCCATACAAAGGGGAAATCTAGCAATCAATAATTTAACAAACCAATAAGTTACATCCCATGTCTTATCAAGGCCAAGATTTGCTCCTTTGTAACTTCACCATTTTTATGCGTGACCAGTGCTTGTTGTGCTTCAGCCTATGTTCAAAGTAAGCTGCCATCTGGATGTATCCACACAGATTTGTGTGAGTGAACAGCAATTTAGCAGCCATCCTCCATGTTAATTTCTGATCATATGTAAAGTTTATGTCATCATTCCTTTTCACTCCCATGCCTTGAATTTCAGGGAAAGAAAAATCTGCATTTCCTTTAGAAACCCCTGTTTCAATAATGCCTGTGCCTGCCTTTTTAAAATTTATGGTACTAATTAATCACTTTCAACAAGGACACTGTTCTTGAACACTCTGTCACTAATTTAAAGCTTTCTCTTGGCACAGCACTTCATTATTTTCCTTTGAAAAGGGCTTAAACATATCACACATCAGTAAACCAGTCTCCACTGAAACAAGCTAATAATACGTGGCAAGATGTTCAACAATGGGACAGGCCAGATGCTTCGGAGAGAAAAAAATATTTGATGCCAAATGCAAAGCTGTCAGTTGAAATAGGGACTCTTTAATGCAAGACATTTCAGTCTGGATGACTGGGAGGGGGGGCTTGGAATGCTTTCCAAGCTATGCACAAATTAGTTCAGTGGAAAAGAAACTGAGGGGCTAAACAGACTGGCAAAAAGAGGTGCTTTCAGGCTGGCTTGAAGGCATGGCATTCAAATGACACATGCCTTGAAGCCAACAGGAAAGCATCCTCTAGGCGCCTTATGGGGAGAAAAGCTGCTTCAAAAAGAAGCATTTTTTTCCATTTCTTCCTGAAAAGTGCACACCTTCACATGTGTGTATAAATGCATCAACACCAATGCGGCTCTAAGGGGGTGCTCTTTCCAAACCCTAATTGTGCATGTAAACAACGTGTTGCAGGAGTACACTTAAAAGGGACAGAGTGCCGTACACAAGTGGTGGCGGTGGCAATGCCCAAAAGAGAAACCATGGAACCTCTCATGGAGATGAATACAACATACACAAAACAGACAGTCAAAGAGGGGGCATAGGGTAAAGTGGGGGGGGGGTGAAGGGAGGCATGATTATACCTTGCTGGCATCTGCACGGACACACCTCTGCTCCAATACCCTGTCCAAGTGATGTGCTGCACATGAGAATGTGTGCAGGTTCACAGGGATGGCCATGCAATGGGTTTGCAGTCACTGGCAGTGCACTCCTGTGAAGGTGTGCAGGGATGGTGGTGGGACAGTAAAAAAAAAAAAAAAAAAAGTACCCAGTGGAATGGCTTGAAGCCATGCTGTGTGGTCATGGCATGCGTACTCCAGCCACTTTGAGAACAGGCGGTGTGGTTGGTGGGGTTTCAATGTGGCTTCGGAAAAGGCAGCTTCAAACCACTTTTTCCTGCTTGTCTGTTTCGCCCTGAGTATATTTTCTTATGCTACAGCAATTAGCACCTTATCGTTGCTGTGTAAAGCTGTTAATATGCTCTCTTAGTCATTTGCTCCCAGCATGACTACAGCAGGTATTTTTCAGAAAGTAGCCCTGTTAGTCTCTTGAAACATAAAAAGGAGAGGAGGGGGGGGAGAGAATGTAGTAGAACCTTTAGCACTAACTAGTTTTTATTAACTTTTCATTGGTTTATATTAGCTTTCATCTTATACCAACTGTATCTGTGGGTGTCATTTTATACAGTTGTAGACTTTATGTGAAGTTGAAGGCTTTCATGGTTGGCATCCATAGGTTTTTATGGATTTTTCAGGCTGTGAGGCCATATTCTAGAAGAATGTGTTCCTGACATTTCACCTGCATCTGTGGCTGGCATCTTCAGAGAATGGTGGCATGGAGGTGTGTGGGGTATATATACTGTGCAACCCTTGGTTGAGAGGATTAGCATGTAAATCTCTGTATATTGTTCTGTTGAGGCAATGCCTCTGGGTGGGAGGATATGCAAGGAGGATCAGTACAGCCAAACGTCAGAAATACATTCTTCTAGAATACGTCCTCACAGTCCGAAAAACCTACAAATACTTGTAGACTTTATGTTTGAGTGTTTCTGGGTTTTAATTAATACCCATTATCCTAAACCACTCTGCGAGAGAAAGGGTATTGCATCAGTGTTTGAAAAATAAACAAATGGTTAGTAGAGAATATCTGACAGTTCCCAAAGGGAATTTTTAAAAAGTACATAAAATTTATATCGTGATATAAGATATTTTATGGTGATAATAGAGAGGAGTAGGAGCCTAATAAGTTCCAGCTGGAAGAGGGAGTGATCTCAGATAATTAGGTGAAGAAAGACCAGAATAAGGAATATGTAATTGCAGGAGGGGAATGGTAAAAAAGAAGAAGGAAGAGTTTTGAAGTAAAGGTAATTGCATATGCATGAGGAAGGCTACATTTCTGATTTTTGTAATAGAGCTGTTTAGGTCAGTGTGGGCATTAATACTGTGAATTCTTCATTCATAACTGAAGAGTTACATGAGACTCAAAATGTAGAAAGTTCTGCATCAATGTAACTTGATCCAATAAGGCATATTATTAGATAGGTGACATGACAGGACTTGATATGACACAATATGGTTTTCTTATCTGAAACAACATGCATTATCATTCCAGAATCTTAACTGCTTTAATATTTTCAGTGTTATTGGATTACTGGACCAGTAACATTACTAATTAATATTGAAAGTGACTTGGGAAAATTTATTTTCTCAATCTTCTATTAGCTATCTATTGGACTTTACCACTGTTTTACTAATAGAAAAAGTGTTCTCTGATGATTAAAGGTTAGCATATAACCCCTGACTAGTTCTGGTGTTATTGTATTGCTCTCTAGGGGTTACTATGACTCCATCCACACTTCAAAATTCATGCAGTTTGACACTCCTCTAACTGTCATGACTCAATACTATGGAGTTGTGGGATTTGTAGTTCTGTCAGATAGTCATCTCTGTCACAGCAAACTACAAATCCCAGGATTCCATAGGATGGAGCCATGACAGTTAAAGGACTGTAAAACTGCATTAATTCTGCATTGTAGCAGCAGCCTATGCCATATATGATATTAAATAAACAACTATTAGTTTAAAAAATGTGTTTCCATGGGTAATGTGAATGTAAGAATAAAAACAACTGTAAAATATGTAATAGCCAAATCAATTTGTTATTGTCATTAACCAGCTTTGAGTCAATCTCAGTTCATGATAATGCTGTGGGTGAGGATGTTATCACATGTGGCCCAGAAACTGAAAATAAAGTGGAAACGAGGCGTCCCGAAAATAAACGGGAAATAAATCTTATTTCCGCAAACATCATTACCTTCATTGCACATTTACAGTAAGTGTATCGAACGTCCACACACAAGAGAAAAACCCCCGTAAATGTAGCTGAAATGAGCCTCCTGCACATGCGCAGATAGTAATGCTCCGGGAACCATGGGTAATGACGGGGAAATGCTCCCCAATACGTATTTGGTTATCAGACTAATGGTAAATGCGAAATGATTCTCATCGCGCAATTGCAATTCCTCAAGAAACCGAAATTCAAAAGATCTCGGTTCTTTCCACTTTCTGTCCACTTTCTGTCGGGGTTCTATGCGACGTCGTGTGAAAACACGGCCAAATAATCCGGATTCGGGCGGGATTTCGTTTGGATTCTATTTGGATTGGGCCCCGTATGATAACGTCTCAAGACTCCCTATCTTCTACTGCTCTACCTAAGTCCTGCAAATTCATACCTGTGATCTCCTTAATAGAGTCCATCCATCTAGCATGTGATCTTCCTCTCTTTTTCCTGATCTCAAACCTTCCTAGCATTATTGTCTTTTCCAGTGAGTCATATCTTCTCATGATGTGGCCAAAGTACGATAGCCTCAGTTTAGTCATCTTGGCTTCCAGGGAGATTTCAGGCTTGACCTGTTCTAGGATCCATTTGTTTGCCTTTTTTGCTGTCCACAGTATCCTCAGCACTTCAGCACCACATCTTAAATGTATTGATTTTCCTCTTATACACTTTCTTCATTGTCCAGCTCTTGCATCCAGACATGGTGATGAAGAATACAAGGGCTTGTATGATTCTTACTTTTGTGCTCAGTTGTATATCTTTACCCTTTAGGATCTTTTCTATTTCTTTCATGGCCGCCCTCCCCATTCGTAGTCTTCTTCTGATTTCTTGACTACAGTCCTCATTCTGATCAATATTTGATCTAAGATATGAGAACTCTTTTACTATTTCAAGTTTCTTATTGTCTACATGGCCATTATTTTTGTTTTCTTTATGTTCTGTGGGCACTTTCTTCTTCGATCTTTCTTAGTAGTAGTTCTAGATCTGTGATGTTTTCTCCTAGTAGTTTGGTGTCATCTGCATATCTTAGATTGTTGATATTCTTTCCTCCTGTTTTTATTCCTGCTTCTTCTGTGTCCAAGCCTGCTCTTCATATGATATTCTCTACATACAAGTTGAACAGAGAGGGTGAAAGGATGAAGCCGTGCCTGACCCCTTTGCCAATTGGGAACCATTCTGTTTTTCTGTGTTCTGTGGATATTAATGTAACAAAAATAAAAATAAAAACCAGTAGTTACTGCATAGTAGTTACTATCTCCGAAAATCTTTCTAAGATAACCAAGGGAAACTCCCTCCTGATTCTGCTCCATTGATCTTCATGTATTTCTCAGTCTGTACATGCAAACAACTTTGCAGGTGTTGCTTGTGGGTGCACAACTCTACCTGCTATTTAAAGCTGAATCCTCTCTTATAAACCATTGTCTTCAAATTTTGTTGTTCTGTGCCATCAAGTAATTTCCCACTTAGGCTGTTGCCCTATCACTGAGTTTTCTTAGCAAGCTTTGTTCTGAGGGGGTTTGCCTTTTCCTTTCTCTGAGGCTGAGAGAGTATAACTTGCCCAATGTTACTCAGTGGGTCTTCATGGCTGAGGAGGGATTTGAACCCTGTTCTCCAGAGTCATAGTCCAATGCCTTAACTACTATACCACTCTAGCTATCACTAAGGACAGCATGAGAAATACATTTGTTTAATTACAGATACAAATTGAATATTGCAGAAATTTTATTTATATATATTTTTAAATGGTTTAACAACTGGTTTTTCACAAAGGATCAAGGTGGAACATCTAAAATATCAATCTAAGCAAAAAGCAAGCTCAGTAGATAGATTTCTGAAGCCAAGGTATTCAGATGCTTGATAATGAATCAGATGCTTGATACTGAATCAGAAGTGGAGGTGGAGGGGTCATTTGTGGTTCTTTTTTACAGAGCTTTTCAGAACTAGTGTTCTATCCTGAGGACTAGTAACATAAGGAATGTGGGATGTACATGGCTTACAGCCAAGTCTTCTCCCCCTAGAAAAACTCTCCCTTTCCTCACCTGGAGCAAGTGACCTAAGTATGAGACATGTGTTAGCCAACATTCTGTAAGGGCTGAGGAACTACTTGGTGTGTGTGTGTGTGTGTGTGTGTGTGAGAGAGAGAGAGAGAGAGAGAGAGAGAGAGAGACCGTGGCACATAGCATAGAAAACTGCTTAAAATATAACATCTTTTGTAAAGAGAGATAAATAATTTCACTGAACAGCTTCTCAGTATAAAATGAAATACCTGTAGAAAATGCACCCACCTATACAGCACTGACTCATCCATCATCCATTGCTTCTTGTAGTTCCTGTTAAGTTGACTTCTGCTCTTCTTTCCAATAATGGAGCCAGTCCCACCTGTTCTTGTATGCAGAGATGACTGCTGAACCAAGTGAAAAGGTGGAAGGTATACATCTTTGCTAAACTCAAATAGATTTATAGACACATTCAAATCAGACCCACAAGACTTGTTGCAGATACACAGCATGAGGAAGACTGTGGTCTAATCTGTAGTGCAGAAATAATGCAGTTCGACATCGTTTTAACTGCCGTGGCTCAATGTATGAAATTCTGAGATTTGTAGTTTTGTGAGATATTTAGCTTTCTCTGTCAGAGAGTTCTGATGCCACAATATACTACAAATGCCAGGATTCCATATCATTGAGCCATGACAGTTAAAGTGTTGTCAAACTGCATTATTTCTGTACAAAAGTATTATGTGTTGTGTGAAGTACATCCTTTTGTTAACCGTTGTCAGGGCTGGACCAGGGCCATTACA